CGATCCTCAGATCTCAGCCTCCTGAGTAGCTAGGATTACAGGCGTGAGCCACCAGCACCCCTCTCCATAAGACTCTTATCTCCAATAAACCACTCAGAAAACTGGAAGTGGCGCTGTGGTTCAAGTGGTAGAGCACTAGCCTTGAGCTGAAAGGCTAAGGGACAGCGCCCAGGCCCAGAGTTCACATGAAGCTAAAGTCCTGTAGTTCTTTTTGCAAAATGAATCTGGGCCCTTTAAGCCTGTCCAGCCCTAGGGGACCCTCACCTCATACCCCCTTTTCTATCTCAGCCCTATAAACCACACAGGTGCAGAAGGCCGAGCCCTCCACACAGATTCTCCCTCAATTTCTTTCTTCCTTTTTTTATTTTATTCTTTAAATTTTATTTAGTGTTAGTCTTGGAGCACTAAATAAATAACTCATAGTCTGGGCACTGTCCCTCGGCTTTTTTTGCTCAAGACTAGCTCTCTAACACTTAAGCCTCAGCTCTACTTCTGGCTCTTTGGTGGTTAGTTGGAGATCCGAGTCTTGGACTTCCTTGCTCGGGCTGGCTTTGAACCCCAATCCTCAGATTTCAGCCTCCTGTGTAGCTAGTATTACAGGTCATGAGCCACAGGTGTCCGGCTCTCCCTTAGTTCCTTGCTATGCACTTAGGGATGGGACTGAGCTGGTCCTTGGTAGATGGTGGGTCTGGCTCCTTCTATGTACCCCATTCTCAGTCCATCCACCCAGAGACCTCCTCCTATATTGACTGCCTTTAACAACAGAACAGTCCCTAAGATCTCCCTACACGACCACTGGCTCAGACCTGTCCTTTCCACATCACTGGCTCAGTTCCCAGCCTCCCACTCATTCTTCAGTGTTACCCCAGACTCTCCAGCGAAAATTCTTCAAGGTCACTGGCTGCCTCTCATCGCCAATTTCAGTGGATACTTTTCCTCCCACCCCCCTTTTTTTTTGGTCGGTTGTGGGGCCTGAACTCTGTCTAGTACTGTCCCTCAGCTCTTCCACTCAAGGCGAGTGTTCTACCACTTGAACCACAGTGCCACTTCTGGCTTTTTCTGCTTGTGTGGTGCTGAGGATTCGAACCCAGGGCTCATACATGCAAGGCAAGCGCTCTACCAGTGAGCCACCTTCCCAGCCCCTCCCCCCACCTCTTGACACTTGTCCCAGGGTTGACAACACAACGCCTGAAAAATTTCCCATCCCTCCGTCCCTACCTTGGCATGCATTCCCTTTTTCATTCTCCAGAGGCTGGTGCCCTGCAGACATCGCTCTGTTCACAGGGTCCCTGGAGGCTCCAGCCCCAGCTCTGGGACTTCCAATGCCTTCTTTCCTCTGAAGCCTTTCCACTCGGTCTCCAACACCAGAAGAGGTTGCTAAACCTTGTTCCTCCACACATACCCAGTTCCCTAAGAAACACAGCTCTGCTGGCACCAGTGGCTCATGTGTGTCATCCTAGCTACTCAGGAGGTTGAGATCTGAGGATTGAGGTTTGAAACCGGCTGGGGCAAGAAAGACTTCTTTTCTTTCTTTCTTTCTTTCTTTCTTTCTTTCTTTCTTTGCTTTGCTTTTTTTTTCTTTTTTGTCAGTTTTGAGGCTTGAACTCAGGACCTGGGCACTGTCCCTGAGCTCTTTTGCTGAAGGCTAGCGCTCTACATTTTGAGCCACAGCCCCACTTCCCGTTTTCTGGTGGTTAATTGGAGCCTCATAGACTTTCCTGCCTGGGCTGGCTTTGAACCTCGATCCTCAGATTTCAGCCTCCTGAGTAGCTGGGATTACAGGTGTGAGCCATTGGCACTCAGTTCCATGAGACTCTTATCTCCAATTCACCAAAAAGCCAGAAATAGAGCTGTGGCTCAAGTGATAGAAGGCCAGCCTTGAGTGGAAAAAGACAAGGGACAGTGCTTAGGCTCTGCATTCCATCCACTGCTGGTGCATATACACACACACGCACGCGTAGGCACACACTCTTGTACACGCACACCCTTGGTTCCACAGTCCAGGCGACTCCTCCCTGTCTTCCCTCTGCCCCGGCAGTGCCTACTCCAGATGCAGCCCCTCCCTTGCCTTTCTTTTCAGCAGATTTCACCTCCTGTGACCTCCTGTCTTCTTCCAGTGCTGCAGTCTGGCCACCCCACCCCCAGCACCTCCCGGCTTGCTTTGCGCACCATTGTATGAAACAGTGGTCTTTTACAAACCTGTGTACGGCATTATCTACCTGCTTCTCCTGAACTTTCTGGAATCTGCTAGCACCTTCCAGGTCCAGGGCCTGGCCCCTGCCTACCAGGGGCCTCTTGGTCTCTCCATCTTGGCTCACCTTCACAGATCCTGGCTCTCAGTACCTTTCAAGTGCTTGTTTTAAGTGGAACTTTGTGCTCTGGTGTTTTTATTTTGAGTAAAACTAATCGTTCAGATTTCAATCAAGATACAGCTTATAAGCTGGGCTGGGCTGGTCCATGCCTGTAATCCTAACTGCTCAGGAGGCTGAGATGGTTGTTCATAGCCAGGCTGGGCAGGAAAGCCCAGGAAAATTCTTTGATTTTTTTTTTTTTTCGTACCAGTTCTAGGGCTTGAACTCTGGGTCTGGACACTGTCCCTGAGCTTTTTGGTTTTTTTTGGTCCGGTTATGGGGCCTGAACTCTGGGCCTGAACACTGTCCCTCAGCTCCTCAGCTCAAGGCTAGTGCCCTACCACTTGAGCCACAGCACCACTTCCGGCTTTTTTCTTATGTGGTGCTAAGGAATCGAACCCAGGGCCTCAGGCATGCAAGGCAAGCGCTCTACCACTGAGCCAACTTCCCAGCCCTGTCCCTGAGCTTTTTGCTCAAGGCTAGCACTCTACCACTTGAGCCACAGTGCCACTCCTGTTTTTTTTTTTTTCTGTGTATGTGATTCTGAGGAATCGGATCCAGGGCTTCATGCATGCTAGGCAAGCACGCTACCACTGAGCCACCTTCCCAGTCCCTATGTAATTCTTATCTCCAATTAACTAGTGAAAAGCCAGAAGTGGAGTTATAGCTCAAGTGGAATGTGCCAGCTTTGAGCCAAAAAAAAAAAAAGGGACAGTGCCCAAGCTCTGAGTTCAAGCTTTAGTGCCAGCACACACACAACATAATGTGAAATAAAGTGAGTAATTCAGTGGTACTTAGTGCATTGATAATGTCATGCAGCCACTTTCTCTGTGGATCTCCAGAACTGGTCACTATCACCAAACAATACCTTCACCTTCTGAGAAGTAACTCCCCAGCTTCCCCACCCCTGGGCAGCTAACTCTTCTTCCCACTTCTATAAATTTGCCCATTTCTTTCTTTGTTAGGCTGGTACTCTACCTATTGAACCATACCTCCTGCTTTGTGCGGGTTGTAGTGGTAAACAGTGAACTTTTCTGCCCAGCCTGGCCTCACAACACAATCCTCAATCTTTTCAGTAGCTAGGATGATGATAAGCGTGAGCCACTGGTGCCAGGCTATTTCTTCCTTTGTGGCTGTTGTTACGATAAATATAAACAGATATACCTGTGTGTATATACGTCTATATCAAGACATACAATAGATATGTATAAGTAGATATGGATATCTACATACACCTGTTTGTATTTCATATTTCTTGGAAATATCTTCTGAGTGGAATGTTAACTATGTTCAGCTGTTTGAGGAACTGCCAAATCGTGATGAGTGTTCTCCTGACAAGAGACTGTCTGGATGGGTATAAATCAAGACAGATGGAGGAGTAGGGGTGAGGTGTGGCAGGCATGGGTGAGCCTCTGAGCTTTTGCCCTCTTTGTGGGGCTGCAGGTGGATCTGGGGGTGGGGCTAGCCGAGAGGCCAGGGAGGCTGCTGATATTCAAGCTTGCCCTCAGCGTGGCTGTGAAGCTGGGCGGGCCCTGCCAGTCTGAGCAGCCCCAGCTCCGCAGCTGGAGAAGGGGCGGGAGGGGGCTGGGGCATGTGTCTCTTGAGGCTCTGTGCCTTTCTGGGCACCTTGCTTCACAGAAGTGGTTGCCTGCAGGAAGGATAGGAAGTATGGCAGCTGACACCTGCAGAAGGCGCATCCATGCTCCCTTTTTTCCACAGGAGGAGCAAGTGCTCAGTCTTGGGGGGGGGTGCCACTGAGCACAGGCTGAGGCTCCAGGCCGGCCCAGTGCAACCAGGCTTCCAGGAAGGAGGGCAGCCCGGCGGAGCTGCAGTGAGCGGCCGCAGCTCTACTCCAAGGCTGAGCCTCAGCAATTCTGCTGGCTCAGCGGCCCTCCTCCTCCCAGGATTGTCCTCCGAGGCCTGGCTTCCTGGAGGGCTGCCCAAGTCCCGCGCCTCTGCATCCTCGTCCCGTCCCGAAGCTGGGGCTGTGGTGCCCCTCACCCCATCCCTGGGCTGGAGGTCCCCGGCAGGGATGCGTCTCTGTTTCCATCAGCCGCTGCCGCCGCCAGAGCAAGCTGGGCCAAGCAAGGTGGCTAAGAAGCAGCAGAAACCTGTGCAAGGTCACTGGATGCATGGCGGTGTGAGCTCCGGGCTGTGGTGTCACCCAGCAGGGGGAGTCGTAGGCCGCCTCCTGCCACTCTGGGCCCCGGAGTGGGAGTCTACTGCTGCCCAGCTGCTGTTTTGCACACCAGGGTCCTACACGAGACTAAGAATGAGCAAGAACAGGGCAGCTGCAGATAGGGGACTGGTTCCTTACCCAAAAGTAATCTAAGAATTCTAAATTAATTCGTTTTATTGTTTATTGTGTTGGTCCAAGGCTTGAATTCAGGGCCTAGGTATTATTCCTTAGCTTTTTCCGCTCAAGGCTGGTGCTCTACCACCTAAACCACAGCTCCACTCCCAGCTTATTTTTTGCCTATTAATTGCAATAAAAATCTCATGGGCTTTTCTGCCAGGACTGGCTTTAAACTTCAGCTTCCTGAGTCGCTGGGATTACAGGCGTGAGCCACCTGTGCCCAGACAGGCAAGAATTCTAAATTTAAACTCGGCCTTTCAGGTCACGATGACAGTGTGTTTGCCAAGGTAAGAGCATAGAACATATTTTATTTAACAGGTTATTAATGCGAGTTACACCGTTTGGGCTTTCAGAAGTCTCTGTATTTTTCTGTAAATGTTAAGGTGATTTTTTTTCCCCCCTTCACCAGCTCCAAACCCAATAGTAGTGATGATGATAGTGTCTTCTAATTTTTATTTTTGTTTTATAAAGCGGCCTGTGCTTGCTAAGGAATGTGCAACAATGAATCAAATACTGTTGCAACCCAGGCAGAGAGACCCGAAACAACATCCGGCCATCATTGGCTGAGTGATCCCGGAGCGGCCGCTGGTAGCATCTCATCCCTGACATAGCTTAATGGTCTCACACTCACCCCTGTTTTCCTGAGGGGAAACAGAGGCTCTGACAAAGTAACCACCTCAGGGTCACCTGTAAGAAGAACTGGGAAAAGTCTCTGAATAAACAGGGATCCACACCTAGACAGCAGCCCGGGGCTGTTGTACCTCGTCATCCTAGGGCTTCGCTCTGGGAAGAGGATGAAGCGTCTGAGGGCAGCCGGGGTGCTACAGCCGGTTCAGGGCCAGCAGGGTCTACAGGAGGAGACGGTGTCAAAAACAAAAGAAGGGAACAAAAAGTGGAGACTCTAGGCTGTGAGGCTCTGGGGCCTGGCTGTACAAAACTTCACTGGTTCTCAGGCTCGCTCTTTCTTTCTTTTTTGGGGGAGGGGTCTGGTCATGGGGCCTGAACTCTGGGCCTCGGTGCTGTCCCTCAGCTCTTCAGCTCAAGGCTAGCGCTCTACCACTTGAGCTACAGCGCCACTTCTGGCTTTTTTCTTTTTGCTTATGTGGTGCTGAGAAATCAAACCCAGGGCCTCAGGCATGCAAGGCAAGCGCTCTACCACTGAGCCACCTTCCCAGCCCCTTACTCTTTCTTTCTTTCTTTCTTTTCTTTCCATCTTGGGGCTTGAACTCTTGGCCTGAGCACTGTCCCTCAGCTCAAGGCTAGCACCCTACCACTTGAGCCACAGCACCACTTCTTGTTTTCTGGTGGTTTATTGGAGATAAGTCTCATGGCCTTTCCTACCCTGGCCTGGCTTTGAACCATGATCCTCAGATCTCAGCCGCCTGAGTAGCTGGGGTGGCAGGTGTGAGCCACTTCACACCTGAATTTCAGTTTCTTAATCTGTAAAATGGGGACAATAAATTCAACCCTATCCAGTGAGGTACCCAGGAACTGGTTTCTAACAGAGTGAGGGGTCCTTGCATTTAGGGCCCATTTCTGGGAGCCGGGCACATACCAGGAGTCCTGGGCTTGTTCCCCGACAAGAGCTGACCCCTTGGGTGATGAGGGAATCACATGATCTTGGGGTTCCCTCTGCTGTCTCTTCTTTCCTGTCCTCTGGTCATCCTGGTGGTTGCTTGCTGGCCTCGGACAGCAGGGGCAGAGGGTCGGGTCCTGCTAGTGCAGCCCTCACCAACTTCTCCCAACAGCCTTCTTGAATTGAGGCGTGCTGACCTGCCCCTCCCTGCAAACGGGGAAACTGAGGAAATAGAGACTGAGCTAAGGAAGGGCCAGAGGACAGCCTTCAGCTAGGAAGGGAGAAAGGCTGTGGTCCCTTTGGACGCTGGGGCGGGAGCTGAGGTCTCTCCGGGTGACCGCAGGGAGCAGGGTTGGGCTGGGGCTGCGCTGTAGCCGCCAGGGAGGAGCCCAGGCTGCTGGGAGGTGTGCTGGGTGCGGGGTGCACCATGCGGGATCCCCAACACCGAATTCATTACCAGGAGATTCCGCTTCACAGCCCGACGCCTCCCCTGCGGGCCACACACACATCTGACAGCATCTAGTGGGCCGAGCCCGTGCTGGCGCCTGTGCTCTGTCCCTGTCCCCATGCCCCCCCTCCCTGTGCCCCCCCACCCTGTCCCTGTGCCCTGACCCTGTGCCTGTGCCCTGACCCTGTGTCTGTGCCCCCCTGACCCTGTGTCCGTGCCCCCCTGACCCTGTGTCCGTGCCCCCCCGACCCTGTGTCCGTGCCCCCCCTGACCCTGTGTCCGTGTCCCCCCGACCCTGTGCCTGTGCCCTGACCCTGTG